TTTATTACATGTCTCGGGACATGTATGGGAAGTGGCAGATTAAGCAGTCAGCTCATCTTCAGCCATCTTCAGGGTACAGACATGAGCTATAGGTCTAAGAAGATGAAGTGGAGGCAGGGGACAAAAGGTATGCATAGTTAAACAGCCCCAGTCACAGGTGCGGTCTGGTTGAACCTTATCTGGTTCTGGAGTTGTTATCTGGTTTTATTGTCAACTGGCAGGTGGTCCACCCTGAGGAAGGTTTGCCATTGGGGGTAGCTTCTTGGTCCCTTGCATGAAGATGTTATCATCTGTCTCCTGGAATCCAAGGTGATTGCAAAGTGACTACAAAGAGAATCTCTTATAGCAAAGATAGATACAAGATGGAAGGGAGATGCTATGCTTTTCTCCTGTAATTAGTTAATTCATGGGGTCAAGAAGGAGTCAGTGCTTTTCAGCAAAGGCAGTTTGAATGCCTCTTACAGCTTCCGCCTGTTAAGCAGGGAGACACCCAGGAATGCTCCTAGTTTGGAACACCACTGAGCCCCAGTTACCCAGCTCAGAGGCAGTGCCAGCAGAGAATGTAGAGGATCAGTAAGAGGGGTGAGGGGCTGGGGTGGAGCTCAGGGCCTGGGGAGCTGTGGTCACAGCTTATGCCCTATGGGGGCTGAAGGAGACACCTGGGAGCCCTACAGTCGTCCTCCTGGTCTGGCAGCCTTTTCGCTGTTAGTTTAGGAATCAGTCATGGACCCAGGCTGATGGGCAACCTGTGTGGTCTCTGCTGGCCTAGAACTCTTGATCTACTGACCTGAACCCTTGAATGATGGCATTATAAGCATGCTCCACCATGCCTGGCTCTGCCTTTGAAACCAAGGTCTTTCTACAGTGGGCTCTTCTCTGTGCACCAGGTGCACTGTCTAAATACTAGGGAGCTTCCCATGGTCAGCTTATCTGGATTGTTCTGTCGGATACCCTTGTGGGCAAGGTAGACAGGCTCTGGAAGGGGACCCTACTCCTGCAGTACACGATCATTGTGTGGAGCAGGGGATGTGGGACTGTGGAGTTTCTGCCCAATTTTTCTAAAACTGCTATGAAAAAAAATCAAGGCAACAGTAATAAATAAGTGTGACCAGGTGCTGGTGGCTCACATCTGATATTCTAGCTACTCAGAAGGCAGAAGTGAGGAGAAGAGCAGTTGAAGCCAGCCCAGGCAAGTAGTTGGAAAAATCCTATCTGGAAAATACCCAAAGCAAAAAAAGCTTGGTGCAATGGCTCAATGGTAGAGTGCCTGCTTAGGAAGCTAGAGGCCTTGAGTTCAAACTCCAGTACAGCCAAAAAAGTTAAGTGTGGTGGGGGATGAAAGAGAGCAGTGGAGAGGGTGAATCAAGTATGATATATTGATTTATTGTACAAATCTTTGTAAGTGCTACAATGAACCTGCACCCAGTATGACAGTTAAGTGTGGCAATTCAAGCTCTAATCTCTTATTCTTCTAAGTACTAAATAAGTAATTTTAGAACTCAATGATGTTTACATTTATTTTTGAAAGTATCATTTCTGAATTTGACTAATGTATGTTGGGAAAGGCCTCCTCCATATCCTTCAGGTTAGTCTCAAATTAATCTTTTCTTTTTTTTTTTTTTTGCAGTATTGCAGTTGGAACTCAGTGCCTTTACGTTGAGCCACTCCAGCCCTTTTTAGTGCTGGGTTTTTTCATCATAGGGTCTCGTGAATTATTTGCCCTGGTTGGCTTAGATCTGCAATCCTCATGATCTCTGCCTTTGAGTAGCTAGGATTACAGGCAAGAGCCCCTGGTGTGCAGCTTCAAACTTATAATCTTTACACTCAGCTTTTTTGAGTCTGCAATTACAGGAGTATGCACCACACACAGCAAATTTTTCAATTACTACTCAGTCATTTTAAATTATTTTTCGGTGCTGGGAATTGAACCCAGGGCCCTCACACAAGAGCTAAGTAAGAGTCTACCACTGAAAACACATCCAGAGAAAGTGTCCTTTTTCTTGAACCAGCAAACCAAGTAAAATGCTCACCATCTCTAGCAATAAAGGAAATGCAAATTAAAACCACACTAAGATTCCACCTCACCCCTGTTAGAATAGCCATCATCAGCAACACCACCAACAACAGGTGTTGGCGAGGATGCAGGGAAAAAGGAACCCTCTTACACTGTTGGTGGGAATGTAGACTAGTACAACCACTCTCGAAGAAAATTTGAAGGCTACTTAAAAAGCTAAACATTGATCTACCATTTGATCCAGCAATACCACTCTTGGGGATATACCCAAAAGACTGTGACACAGGTTACTCCAGAGGCACCTGCACACCCATGTTTATTGTGGCACTATTCACAATAGCCAAGTTATGGAAACAGCCAAGATGCCCCACTGCTGACGAATGGATCAAGAAAATGTGGTATCTATACACAATGGAATTTTATGCAGCCACGAAGAAGAACGAAATGTTATCATTCGCTGGTAAATGGATGGAATTGGAGAACATCATTCTGAGTGAGGTTAGCCTGGCCCAAAAGACCAAAAATCAATCATATGTTCTCCCTCATATGTGGACATTAGATCATGGGCAAACACAACAAGGTGATTGGACCTTGATCACAAGATAAAAGCGAGAGCACACGAGGTATGAGGATAGGTAAGACACCTAAAAAATTAGCTAGCATTTGTTGCCCTTAACGCAGAGAAACTAAAGCAGATACCTTAAAAGGAACTGAGCCCGATAGGAGAAGAGGACCAGGAACTAGAGAAAAGGTTAGATCAAAAAGAATTAACCTAGAAGGTAACACACACGCACAGGAAATCAATGTGAGTCAACTCCCTGTATAGCTATCCTTATCTCAACCAGCAAAAACCCTTGTTCCTTCCTATTATGGCTTTTACTCTCTCTTCAACAAAATTAGAAATAAGGGCAAAATAGTTTCTGCTGGGTTTTGAGGGGGTAGGGGGGAGAGAGAGGGGGTGGAGTGGGTGATAAGGGAGGGGGTAGGGGCAGGGGGGAGAAATGACCCAAGCCTTGTATTCGCATATGAATAAAAAAACAATAAAAATTAAAAAAAAAGCAAAGCACCAAAAAACAAAAGCAAACCACTATTTTAGTATACTATTGCATTCTGTGAAAGATCAAAATTTCCTTTATAATTTTCTTTTTTTTTAATTATTATTTTATTATTCATATGTGCATACAAGGCTTGGGTCATTTCTCCCCCCTGCCCTCACCCCTCCCTTACTACCCACTCCACCCCCTCCCTCTCCCCCCTACCCCCTCAATACCCAGCAGAAACTATTTTGCCTTATTTCTAATTTTGTTGAAGAGAGAGTATAAGCCATAATAGGAAGGAACAAGGGTTTTTGCTGGTTGAGATAAGGATAGCTATACAGGGAGTTGACTCACATTGATTTCCTGTGCATGTGTGTTACCTTCTAGGTTAATTCTTCTTGATCTAACCTTTTCTCTAGTTCCTGGTCCCCTTTTCCTATTGGGCTCAGTTGCTTTAAGGTATCTGCTTTAGTTTCTCTGCGTTAAGGGCAACAAACGCTAGCTAATTTTTTAGGTGTCTTACCTATCCTCACCCCCCCCATCGTGTGCTCTCACTTTTATTACGTGCTCAAAGTCCAATCCCATTGCTGTGTTTGCCCTTGCCTTTATAATTTTCAAAGTGATTTATATCTTTATAATCTCTAGAAACCCTAACACAGGAAAATTTGCTTCCAATTCCCACATGCTGAGCAAGAAATGATTTTCCCTTTTTTCCCACTTCTCCCTACTCTGTCTTGCTGTACTAAAAGAAATCCCTGCTAAAATTTAAAAAGTCATACACACTATGGATGCTCAATAGTCTCCCAGAACAGCAGTTTTGTAAATGACCACGGGAAGCAGTGGTGCTGGAAAACACTCACACATCTGTCCTGCGCGTCCAGCAGAAGGAACACAAAGTCCACAGCTTGGATCTTTTCTGATCACTGGAGGTGAATCCTGGTTCCAGATTTTTTTTTTTTAAAGTAATAGGGATTAGACTCAGGACTTCCATTAGTTATGCAGAAGCTCTACCAATTAGTCACACACCCATGAATGGAGTCGTGCCCTTACTGTTCACTCCTGCCTGCTAAATTTCTGCTGTTTGAATGAACGTTGATTAAGTGGAGGCCCCATGTAAAGGCTGAGTCTTATTCTGTGCCTGACTCCCTGCTCTCCTCCCAGTTAACAGGAATGGGCGGGGGGGAAGAAAGGGGGTAAGGGGGAATGAGGGGAGGGGGGAGAAATGACCCAAACATTGTATGCACATATGAATTAAAAAAAAAAAAACAGGAATGGAGGTGAACTGAAGAATATGGAGAACTTGGCTCCTGCTAGGAGTGATAAAGAGGTAAAAATAAGAACTTCCCTTTCTGTGACTCCTCCCTCCTGCTTCAGATGGAACCCTTAGCCCAGGGGAAGAATATTTGTCCATGTAGTACAGGCCTTGCATGCAAGGGGCAACCAAATGGTTAAGAGTTTGCAAGAGCATGGCGTCTGAAATATGTCTTCGCCCAATTCCCTTTTCATGCATTTTGTCTTTCCCTTTCCCCAGCCCCCAAGGATGTGTTATGGTCCACCCCAGCCTGAGCACCATGGATCCCAAATGGACAGTGTCCTTTCGAGTGGGTCTGAGCAGCTCACTTCAGCTGACAGCCTTGTGTGCATAACCACTGACCAGCCACACGCATGGATGTCACAGATGCACATAGAGAAGGAAGAGTGGAAGGCAGTGGTCAGCGTGGCTCCAATTGTTGATGCCAAGAGTTCTTGGTCTTCAGCCTCACTGATGAGACAGCTCATTGCCTGTGGTTCTCTACAGTCACAGGACTTTCCTCCCTGTACACTGGACACCAGAATAACAGACCAGGCAGATAAAGACTGTTTGCATGGAGGTTCAGGTTCCATTCATTTCTGACCATTTTTATATAGATGGTTATGCAGGGTGACACTCACGCACCTCTCCATTGAGCTCAGCACAATGTTGGGTAAGTCTCTCTGTGACCACAGAACCCGTAGCTCTCCAGAGGGACAGGGCACAGCTCCTGGCTCAACTGGCACAGCCTGGCAGTGTGGTGCAGCAGGTCCTTCAGTACAGACATGGAGATGTGGTTCCCAAAGAAGCTGAACATAGTGAGCTGGGAGCAGTGGCTCAGGGCAGGCAGGAGGGCAGTGAGCTGGGAGTCCCTGATCCCACAGTTCTCATAGTCCAGGGTCTTCAAGGTGTCTGCAACTCTCTCTAGCAGAACTTGGAGGGCTTCATATCGCACAGAGATCAGTGGGACTCCTTTCAGACTCAGGTGTTTTAGTTGGTGGATGCATGGGCACTGCGACAGATGTTCCAAGTCTGATTCTGCAAGCTGGCAGTGAGTGATTGACAGTGACTCCAAGGGGGTCTTCAGGCACCTGAGGAAAGTCCAAGCAGTTAGTTCTGGCTAAAGGACTGTAGGGTGGAGGAAGGTCAGGAATGACCTCAGGTCAGAGAGCTCAACATTTCCCACCCACACCCAAGTGGACCTGACGATCTGTACATGGTCGATACCAAGGATGCCACATGTTAAGGAGCGTGTTCTCTAGTCTCCCCATTCTAAGCTGAGGTCCTTCCCCATCACCGTGTGACTGGCTCACTGCCCCCTCTCCAGAGCGCCCTTTTCTCTCTCTCACACACAATGTCCCAACTCTGGCCAGTGGAGACCTTCAGGAAGGACAAACTCAGGCAAGGTCTGGAAACCTGGCAGGTGTTGCTTCCTGTGTGGCTCACTCCTCCCTGCATCACCAGCATAGCATCTGTCACTGTCCCCTTGCTTCACTGCTGCCCTCACCCTCAATCTCAGTCTCACACACTTGCCACCTCTCCCTCCCTTGTCTGAGGGCAATATCACAGATTACAGAATGGAACCTAGTGACAGGCTCCTGCCTGCTCACACAGCTGGGAAGCTCAGAGCTCCCATGGTGACCTGTGCAGGTGCGAGGTGCTTCCCTCCTTCAGTGTCCCTTCCCCTTCCTATTTCCACCACCTGAGGAAGACACACCTCCTAGGGAGGAACTCACAGCCCACCTCCCTACACCTGCCCCCCTCCCAGTGCTAGCATGGTGATTCTCTCCAGGCCATCCACCATGTGTCCCCTCTGACTTTGAGGGGCTATGACCATCCACACAAAAGGATAAATTAGAGAAAGCCAGCACTTAGATATCTAATGCACACATCACGCTGACATCTCCACTGGCTGGCACACAGCAGGCTTGGCTCTGCTCTGAAGAAAGCTCCCCATCCATCCCCACCTGAGCACCTGCTGCAGGTGGCCATGCAGGAAGTAGGCCCTGCTTACACAGAGCTGTTGGAGGCAGCTGAGTTTGCTGAACTGAGAAGTGAAGGTGGCCACAAGCTGCTCATACTGTTCTGGAGAAATGCATGCCAGAACAAAGATTTGAGAGATGCGAAGTTTGCGCAGGATTCTTAGCTGGCCCAGGTAAGGAGCAACCATGGCCAGTGTGTACAGCATCAAGGGACAATTCATTTCCACCTCCTCCATCCAGTCCAGCTCCAACAGACTAAGGACCCTGTGGATGGGCCATGTCCTGGAGCCGCAGGTGCACAGTCCCCAAATCTGCATCTTCCTACAGCACAGCTGTATAGATCCTTTTTCTCTGCTGGACCTACTCAAACAAGTATATCTGGAATTTATCCTGGTCATGTAGCTCCAAGTTAAGGTCAACTATCAGCCTCAAGGATGACTTCACCCCGTCCTTGGAGGGATGTCCAATGCTTTGTTCTTGCCCTTGGTCTGTGATATGCAGTACTCAACCATGGCTCCAGAAAACACCTTCCAGAAGTTCTGGTGCACAGATTGCAGGTCCAAAATCTGTAATTTCCACCTCCTAAGGAGAAACAGGGAGAGTCTGAAGATTTTTTCAGGTTCCCAACATCCACTGTGCTTCTGTTCCCCATCCCAGACTTCTCAATTTCATGTCTGTATTAGTTTTTCTGTATTTCTTTTTTCTCTTCAAGCGCTGAGGCTCTAGGCCCAGGCCTCAGGCATGCTAGGCAAAGGCTCTTCCCATGGGCTATGATGGCTGAACTCTCTCCCTACTCTCCTCCCTGTACCTCTTGAATCCAGTGGTCCCTACTTGTACCACATTGGGAGGAGGCAGGGACAGCTCCTTCTGCCATCTCTGCATCCATCCTAAGCACTCCTCCACTCCTGCAAGCTGGTTCCCAGGTGGAGCTCAGCAATGGCCCTGGCCTTTCTAATCTCCTTGTTTGCACTATGAGATGCTTCTGCTCACCTTCCTTCCCACTCTCCATGACCTCAACTCAGTTCTCCCATGATCCCAGGGCCCTCCCTTCCATGCTGCCTGGGTCACACTCACCTGCTGGCCAAGCAGCGTGTCAGTCCCATCCAGGGCAACTTGTAGGGGTCCAGGTCTTGAGTCATCATCAGGGCCCCCAGGGGAGGCATGGGAAGGGCCAGGCCTGCACCATGGCTTCATGACATTAGTGTGTCTCCTTGTTAAGGCCTCCATGAACAGAGGAGGGAAGAGCTCTGTGGGCAGTGTCTCCAGAGCAGAGAGGGCCAGGACTTTATTCCCCAGCAGGCTATGCCCTGCCAGCTGCAGGAGGGTGGGTGGGGCCTTGCTGCTCATTCTGAAGGATCTGCAATGAGAGCCTCCTGGAAAGCATCCAGGAAGATGCCTGCTTCAGGCCAAGGCTAAGAAATCTCTTACTTACCATCAAAGGACTCATCTCAGTACCCGAGCCATTGCTGTGCAATGGTGGAAGAGAACTCAGTTATGGCTGCTTCATTCCCTGCTAGCATTTGGCATGCACCAAGACTTCCTTTACTAGGTGAATGAGTAACTGAACTGTGGTTCAGCCAGAGGATAGAAAATCATCAAGCCAGAAGAAGATAGGGGGACCCTTAATGCAAATTACCAAGTGAAAGAAGGCAATCTGAGAGGACACTTTATTCTATAAAACTCAAAACCATGAAGACAGCATATAGCCTAGTGATTGGCAGGTTTAGGCAGGATGGAGTGATTCGTAGTCAGAGTCCAGGGTATTTTTAGGGCAAGAAACTATTCTGTAGGATCCTGAAATGAGGGTTCATTCATTACATATTTCTCAAAACTCACAGACTGTACAACTGCAAGAAGGAGTTCCAGAGTCATCTATGGACCTGCAAAGATGCATCCTTGTGAAGTTTATGAATAGTAACATTTGTCTCCAACTGGAAGACTTGCTGCTCCTGGGGGTGGCTGTGCCTGTGTGGAATAGGGGATGTGGGAATTGTGGAGCTTCTGCCCAAGTATTCTGTGATTCTAAAACTGCTGTATAAAAAAATAGCTATTGAGCTGTAGGTGTGGTTCAAGCAGTTGAGGCCAAGTTCAATCCTTTGAACTTGGTTTGAAATCCCCAAGTTCAAACTCCAACCCAGAAAAAGAAAACATAACCATTCATTTTTAAAAAACAAGCAAAGCAATTCAAGCTCTAAAATTTTAGTTTTTTAAATATTTTTTGAATAAGAACTATTCTCCTTTATTTCTGTTTAAAGCCATTTTGAAAGTCTCATTTGTGTATTTTTGTTTTGAGATAGGGTCTCAGTATACCTCAGGCTGGCCTCAAACTCACAATCTTCCTGCCTCAGTCTTCTCAGAGCTGGGATTATATGTGAGCACCACCACACATAGGATGATTTCTTAATTTTTGTTCATCCTTCCTCTTCTTTTTTTTTTTTAATGGGGGAGTGGGTGCTGGTGATGGAACTTAGGGCCTCAAGCATGCTAGGCAAGAACTCAACCACTGAGCTACTTTCCCAGAGCAAGTCCCATTTTGAGCCTGTAAAGGAAGGTAAACACACTTAACAACCTACTGCATTCTTTGAAAGTTCTAAATTTCCTTTATAATTTTCATAGCAATTCACATCTTTATTATCTCTAAACATCAAAATACAAGAGCCTTACTCCAATTTCCTTCATGGTGAGCAGGAAATGTTTTTACTTTTTTCCCCATGTCATCCTGCTTTATCTTGTTATACTGAAATAAATTCTTGCTAAAACTTCAATAAAATCCAAACACAAGTGCTTCATAGGATTTCTTTACAGCTGCACGAAACAGAGATCTTGTAAACTTGGAGCACCTGTCCTGAGCCTCCAGCAGGGGGCGCACAAATCCTGCCTTGGAACCTCCATCGTCTGATCACTGAAGGTGAATCCAGGAGGTTCTTTCTTTGTTTCCTGTACAGGGCTTCCCCTTCACATCAGCCACACGCCCAGGAATCCAGTTGTGTCCCAGTCCACCCCGCTGCCTGGTAAATCTCTGCTCTTTGGATGAATCTGATTAAATGGAGGTCCCATGTAGAGGCTGAGTAATTCTGTGCCTGATTCCCTGCTCTCCTCCCTGAGTGAACTAAAACATAGGGTACCAATGAGGGATAAAGAGGGGAAACTTGCCCTCCTCCTCCTGTCCCCATACCTGGGATTGACCCCAGGGCAACACTAAGCCCAATGAGACATGTCCCTAGCCCATGAATGATTTTTAAATGTCTGTTTTGAGAGAAGAGTTTTGTTGACTTTGTCCTGCTGGGCTTGGAAGTCAGAACCCTGCCTGTGCCTCCTGAGTGCTGAGATTACAGGTTTGCCCCACCTCTTCTGACAAGATGCTCCTAGTGAGCACTCTCTGTTTGCAGGCCCATGCTATGCTCTAAACACACATCCCCTCATTTGCTCCTCCACGGTTCCTCACCTGGTGGAATCACTGTTCTCACCGAGAGGCAATCCAAGTCCCCCAGACCCTGGGTCCTCAGCATCAGCCGTCAAGCAGAGGCTGTTTGTTTAACAGCACTTAGGCCAGGTAAGGTCCCATTTGCCCACAGGCACTTTATCCTGACCCAGGACAGGGTAACACATGGATAAGGAGCAAGGCACAGGAGGGGGAAGGTCTGAAGGGGTTTGTGAATGGAGTTTAGAAATTTAAAGGGGACATTGAGTCCCCTCCCTGGACTCATCAAAGATGCTTCCAATGGAATCAGCTGAGCAGATGTAGAAGGAGAGGAGAGACTCCTGAGTGTGTGGTGTCCGTTATCACACATCTGCCTCCATGGTAGGAATCTCTTCTATTCCATTGGCCAAGTGGAAGAGGAAAACTTTGTAGAGAACTCTCAGCCAAGACTGTTTTATTGCTATTTGTGGTAAAATCAAATTATCAAAAGACACTGTACAAAATTAAAAGTTAACATCCGTCAAGCCCACCAACAGTTATGTTGTACTAGATTGAAGTTTGACTTCAATTCCCAGTGCTCAGAAGAATGTTTTTGACATTTACAGCCAACCAGGCAGCTATCCAATAGCAATGGAGAATCCCTTCCATGTTACAGACGCATCTGTTGCCACATTGAGGGCAGGGGTCAATCCCAAAAAGGACCACTTTGGGTTTGCTTCTGGCCCTCACTGTATCCATGAACTCAGCACAACGTTGGGAAACTCTTACTGGGCACCCAGCCCCCAGCCCACCATAGCTCTCCTTGCTCAACTGGCTCAGCTTGGCAGTTTGGTGCAACAGGTCCTTCAGGACAGACATGGAAATGCGGTTCCCATAGAAGCTGAACATAGTGAGCTGGGAGCAGTGGCTCAGGGCAGGCAGGAGGGCAGTGAGCTAGAGATCCTGATCCCACAGTCTTCCATGTCTAGGGTCTTCAGCCTGTCTGTGACTATATGTAGCAAAGCTTGGAGTTGCTCAGGATGCATCTCGGTCAGCCCGACTCCTCTCGGACTCAGGTGTGTCAGTTGGTGGATGCTCAGGTGACTGGACAGGTGCTGTAAGACTGGTTCTTCAAGCTGGCAGTGAGTTATCGACAGGGACTCCAAGGGGGTCTATTGCAAATGAGGAGAGAACAGGTGCTTAGTTCTGGTTAATGGATTACAGTTTGTTCTGGCTAACGGGGAGGGTCAGGTATGACCTTGAAGTTGGAAGGTCAACCTATTCCACCCACACCCAAGTGGACTTGACCATCTCACCATGGTAAATACTGAGGATGCTCCACTTCAAAGAGTGTGTTCTCTAGTCACCCTATTCTAGGCTGAGGCCTTTCACCATCACTGTTCATTGCCTCATCTCCACAGCTCCCTTTCCTCACACACAATGCTGGAGCTCTGGCCAGTGATGACCTGCATGAAGACAAACTCAGGAAAGACCTGGAATCCTGGCTTGGGTTGCTTCCTGTGCAGCTCACTCCCTCTTGCACTCCCAGCCTAGCAACTGTGATTGCCCCTTGCTTCACTCCTGCTCCTCAACCTCAACCCCAGTGCCACACAATTTCCTCCACTCCCTCCCCAACCTGAATTCGTACCACCATTCAGAGAAGGTGACTAGAGACAGGCTCCTTCCTGCCCAAACAGCTGTGGAGCTCAGAGCTCCCGTGGTGATCTGGGTATAAAACCACTGAAATCAGCAGTAGATGGTCAAACCATCAAATAGGGGGCAGAAATGCACAGTTTGAAAAATTCTCTCTGGGTTTCTTAGTCTGATAAGCCAGACAGGAATTCCAAACAGTATTTGCTGTGTAAGAACCATGAATCCAGCACAATATTGGGTGCCAGCTAAAATAGACTATGTATAAATTTGCATTTTTGTAGCAAAGGTTTTGTTACAAAGGTTTGCTTGTTTACTACAAGCAATGCCTGTCATGTGTCAGACTCCACACTCAGAGAGTGACGACATGCAGTTGTGTCCTTTAAGGCATAATCTCTAACAGGAAAGATTGCCAAAGAAGTAAAACACCCTCCAGAAACCATCTCCCTAGAATTTCCTCAAATAGTTTTGTAATTGCAAAACTTGAAAAGGACCAATCTTCCCTCCAGTGGGTGAATGCATAAATAAACTGCAGTCCATCCAGACACTGGAATATTACCAGGCCTGGAAAAGACATGGGAATCCTTAAGTGCATGTGACTAAGAGAAAAAGACAATTTGAAAATGCTGCTTAAAGTTTGACATCCTATAAATGGCAAAAAAGTATGGAGACAGTAAAAGGCCATTGGTTGCCAGGAATGGGGGGAGGTGTGAATAGCCAGAGCACACAGGGATTTTAAGGAAGTGACAGTCCTCTGTAGGACCCTGTAATGGTGGGGATAAGTTATTCTTCAGTTGCCAAATCCATAGAATACACAGCACCAAGAGCGAGGTGTGATGTAAAGTGTGGAGTTTGGTGGCAAGACTGTGGCAGTTTGGTTCATTACTGTTAGGTCCACGCTGATGGGAAGGCCAAATTAGAGCCAAATAACAAAGCAAGCAGGCTTTAAGCAGGCTTTATTGAGAGCGTGATCTCAGGCGAGGTTCACCGTCCCCAAAGACCAGGGCCGGAGAAGTCGCGCTGGAGAAATGGCAGCCTAGTTTTTATATCCTGAAGTTAAGAGCTTAAAGTATTATGGGGCATCGGGATAGGTCAAGGTTTGGTGGGGAGGAGCTCGGGGTAATATGGATCTGTAGGATAGGTCAGGACCCATTACCTGCCAGCAGGAGTTGCCATGGTAATCATAAAGGGAAGGAGGGGATGGAGTGGAAAGTGAGCAGGGAGTCCCTGATCGCCATGGGGTGGCTGCCCACCGGCCAAACAATTACCTGTAAGACCTGTAGCACTCTGGTGCAGG